ACTGCAATTAGACCTAAAGTCTGGTAACTAGTTGGTGTAAGACATGATTTACAATCAGCCAATACAATTACAAACAACTACATTATGCCTATAATGTTTACTAGATCTAGATCTAGGCCTTGCCTGTTGCATATATTGCCAATCTTGCACACCAGTTAATATGTTACATCAATCTCGTATTTTCTTTTTGTTGAACATGCACTTACTTGTAGGTTGTACTCTAGGACTTGTATTTGATCTACAGATGAATGATGGAATAGTGTAATTTACTTCTGTACGTCAATTCGGTCTCATTGTATTTCAGTGGGTGGCTTTTAAAAGTTAAAACTGCAAGCGTAATACACACAAATAACGTAACACTGTGTCGTATTTACTTAATGTAGGGCAGTTATGCTATATCCTAGGGGAGGGCATAATTATTAATTAATAGGCATTATAGGCCAGAGGAAATTTTGCGCCCCTTCACACCTCTTTCTACGCCACTGATTCTAAGTAGGTGTTATAAAGCTATGACGTCGTCGGTAAAGGTCTTACCACAAGAAATGTTTAAGATGTGAGCTGATTCAAAAGAAGAAGTGGCCTTAATGCCAGGACAAAATTAATTCTTTCTTATAAGTCTCCCGAGCCCCCCCCCCCACGTGGCACAGAATCCGGGTTTCGATACCCGTGGTGGCCAGAGCACAGATAGCCCATTGTGTAGCTTTGTGCTTAATTACAAACAAACAAGTCTCCCGATGGGTCAGTGATTAATTTGCGGACTTACAACGCTAACATCCTGAGTTAGATTCCTTGTGGAGGGCAAAGCACAAACAGCCTATTGCATAGCTTTACGCTGAAACAGATAAACTTTTTATACAATTATTTTTATTCTGGACTTCCTGAATTGTTGATTACCCTTTAATAGATACATTTACGCATTAACTTAAGTTGAGAGTCCACCGGTGGGTAAACGGTAAGTCTATTGACTTTCAACGTCAAAATCCGGGGTTCGATTTCCCGCGGTGGACAGAGTATAGATGACTCATTGTGTAGCTTTGCAACAAGAGCAACTACCTGAGTATTTAGTGGATTAACATTTACATATTTAATAAAAATAATATAATCTAACTTATCTCGTTTACTTCTGGCATCAATGACAGAAGCTTTAACATTACACTTCGTATTGTAAAATACTTGAAGTTTCTGTCCAACTTTATTGATGAATTTACACAATACTGTTGGACGAAAAACTTTCATGTGTATCTATGTAACATTGTAATTCTTGTATTGAACATTTCGTAAATGAGGGTGTTGCATTGAAATAAATATGTTTGGTTTGTTTTGAATTTCGCGCAAAGCTACATGAGGCTGCACTAGCCATTCCTAATTTAACAGTGATAGATAGATTAGAGGGAAGGCAGCTAGTCATCACCACCCACCGCCAACTCTTGGGCTACTCTTTTACCAACGAATAGTGGGATTAACCGTCACATAATAACGCCCCCATGGCTGAAAGGGCGAGCATGTTTGGTGTGACGAGGGATTTGAACCCGCGACCCTCAGATTAGGAGTCGAGCACCCTAAAGGTCTTTGTGTAAAACGATTTAAAAAATTTAATTCAAGAACTGTAGTTACTTCGAACACAATTCGCAGAAACACAGAACTAACATTAAATTTCAGTCTGATAATTCTGGCGTGCTCTAATCGTGGAATTTTTGTTTCTTTTTGGTCAATGGCCGAATTCTGAAATTGAGCGTAAGATATATTAATATCATCTTTTGTTTAAGAAAAAAAAAGTTTTAAACTGATCATACACAGAACAAATAAATGAACTAAGATGAACGTATTTCAGTGATACAGATGTCCACGTAGTACACTGTGCACTCCCTTTAGAAAAATTCCATGTTGCTCTCACCAAAGCTTACTCGATAATTTTGTTCTTGCCACTAAATGATCAGAATTAATCTTAATTGTTCATTTTTGAATTTTAGTTTTTACTTTGCAGATATAAGCGTTAAATACCGTATTTTTTTCTTTGCTAACTCTCTTTAATTTAGTTTATGGTGATAGAAATGTGATATTAATAATTGTACTTTTTTCTTTCAATTTAGCTCTTAGGAGCTGTCTGTCTGGGATTAATTGGATACTACGGAAGTCACACCTCTAGTCTCTTTGGAAATCGTTTACAGCGGAAGATCGATGGGTTCGCCTCAGGTTCTGAAGAAGTCGCCCTCTTTCTCACTTCTTTTGGGTTTCTTGTCACTACGTTCCTCCTGTTAGTCTCCAGCTTTGCGTCATTTGCAACATCTTCCTTCCTGCCCAAAACCCTCTTCGTAAGAACTGACATTTTGTCTTTTTGATTTCAAATGTTTTAATTTATATTCAGGTTTTACGTTTATTTCTCATCCCGTATACATTTTGTAGTAATTGCATTTTCATGCTGCACATTTCACGAGTTAAGTTTTGTGTGTTGTTTTTCATCAATTATGATATCTGTGATAGTTCATTTACACACAGTTCAAAATGTAATATAGTCACGTTTCACTTGTCGTTTAAAGACTGTTTATACTCTAGTTTTCGATATATATATATATATATACACACACACACCTTTCTGGAATTTTAATTCCTTTCCAATATTCACGTCTACTACGAACTATTTCACATCGCATTGGGCACTATTACTCAATTTCTAAAAACAATTTATCTTTATTATAAGAAAAAGAAGGCTTGTAGGATCGGTAGAAACGTGTGTGCTTAAAACTTCTCAACATTTCAAATCTTAGATAAAGCACTTCGAAATTCGTGACGTTATGTTTAGATAGAGCAAGGAAAGTTTAACCTACAGTTACTGATGCGGTATGGACCACAATGAATTGTAACCTTTTTTGTAATAATTTGAGTCACACAAATTATTGTTGGGAGTCCCATATATATAGTTATCTAGAATTGTTTTGGCCATTTTTTTACAATGAACAGACAAAAACAAAAATTTAGCCAACATGAGGCAACATATAGAATACCAGCAGTAGTAAACGGTATAAAAGAAAGTCGATAATTTGACGTGGAAAAGTTTGTGCTGATAAGGGTTGTAAAGTTTCTGTCTAGATGATATCTATGTATGATTATATTTCGACTTTCCAACTTGTGGATAAGAATAAAATAGCCTACTCTTGGTTTGGTGTGCTCCATAAATAGTGATATAAACCAGAATCATGTAATATAAGTATCAAACGTAACTTTCTGATTTTACATATTTTCGTTCTAAATGAAATGGATCGACTTGTGTACTTTTTATTATGATTATTATTATTATGGATGAGACAAATATTTCTTTTAATTATTGGATTAGAATATTTTTGGATTGCGACTATACAAACTGAAAATGTGCCACAGGCGTGAGCTACCGCTTTATTATAGCAAAGCATTAAACTAGTTACTTCTTCAGTTTTTTATAATTCAATAAAGCTGTTGTTTGGATTGTGCTTGCCGTTGTTGTTGTTTCTGCCGCTACCGTGACCACCTGATGTGTACAATAGCAATATCAAGTGTTTTCAACTAAACGACTATCTGTATAAGGCTATCAAGGCTCCAACTCTTTATGTGAAAAATGCTACTATGTATGGAAGCTAGTAGAAAGCGCCACTGGTTTAGAAGACGCCATCAATATATTACTAAAACTCTGAGATTGTTTGTTTGTGTGCTTGTCTGTAATTAAATACAGTAAAAACGGCGCATAATATGAGAATAGAAATACAAGTAGAATATGAGAAATGAGAATAGAAACAAAATAAAACAACTTTCGTTAAAATCGG